ATAAACATTACATCATTAGTTATTTAATTAACCAAAAAAATTGCATCTTTATTAACAAAAATTTAATTCTTAACCAAAAAAATTATATAAAAACTAAGCAAACGTGCATTGCACATTGCTTTAACCTAGTATAATCATAAATAACTATCAAAATATAACCGATAAGATTAAGAAAGAGAGATGTATTACAAATTTTTGCTTCTTCAATTTTTTTTCTTCTTTCAAAATATGGTGATTGGAATTTAGAATGGCCAAAGGTTCACGGAATCGCAACGGTTTGAGAATTGGGAAAAGGGAAGTACGATTAAGTGGGAAATTGGAATTATGTAGGCTTTTTTTTCATGTCAAAGACTTAGCCCCTGTTTGTCATCCATTTTATCAAACATTGTTTGTTATAGTAAACAATTTTCACAACATATTAACTCAATAAAATTACTTTACTTTTCAACTACACATTTTCCAAAAAATACTATTCAAAACTCTATTTCTTCTCCCAAAATGGGAGTCAAACAAACACTTAAGATTGTTGGGTCTGGATTAAAAATTATGGGTTATTGGCTTTTTTTTGTTTTCTTTATTTAAAAAATTAAGGGTTAATGATTCCGCCCCCTACCAAAATGCATGTTAGTAAGTAGTATTAGATCGTACTAGACAATATATTAAGCAAGATTTTTGTTTCTTGTTCTTCCTTAATGTTTTCAAATGCTATTTAATACATCTTAGTAAACATGAGTTGAACTCAATGATAAAGTACTTGCCAAAAACTTGCTCGTCTTTTGCCTCCAATCACCAACGAAACTGTGGGATCTGTAAGTGTTAATGTCCAATCAACTTTGAATATAAAAACTTTGAATATAAACACTTTTAATATGTAGTTGATGCATTTCATTTATGGCAAATCTATTATTTAATCTAATCTATTATCTAATTTAATTAATATTCTAATGAATTAAATAATAGAATTCTTAGATCTAAGTCTTGGTAATTTGTTGATGACAAGGAGTTGTGATTTTGATATACAAATTAGACATGGATTTTAAATTATTTGTGGTTGTAAGTAATAACAAGATACGGATATCGTTATTATGGATAAACTATCACATGTGACATTTCTTACTTGTGAAGTGAATAATTGATTTCAAAAGCTAAAGTGTGGCGACACTTAAATAAACACGTGGATGTTTTGTTATAAAACAAAATATTGGAGATTCATTTGGGAGATTTCACATGGATAATTATCTGAATATCAGTGGTCAATATCTAACGTTCAATAGTGGAATTGATCCTTCGATTTGAGGTCATCATGGTGACTTATATAAGGACAATCATACTTTGATGATGTTGAATGTTACTATGTCAAAGGTCGCTAATACGACATCGTTCATGTATGTCCAGAATCATATGAAGGTTGTGAATGATCAATAGATGATTCGTTACTTTTAGATAATAAGAGATTGTGATCTAATGGGTCACATGCAAAAGGAGAACCGAAGAATGAGATTTACCAATTAATTAATAAGTTTTGGACAATTAATTAATTGCGTTGCTTGTGTATATGTCCAAATTAATTAATCAGATTGATTAATTCATGGATCAAATTTAATTAATTTGATTAATTAAATATTGGATTGTGTTAAGTTTAAGAAATGTGCCAAGCCCAATTGGACTTATATTAATAAGCCACTGGTGTTTCAGAAATAATTGAACGGAACAAAATTCACTATTTTGATAGCACAAGAAAAGTAAAATCCTAATTCTCCAATTCTTGTTCCTTGTATGGATTTTCATTGGAAACAAGACAATTGGATAGTCGTGGATTGCAAATCATGGTTGTTCGTGTTCCAAAATCAGCCAAGGAGTTTGCAGAATTTACAAAAAGTATAACTCCTATCACAGTTTATATCTAAACAAAATTCTGCTCCAAATTGCCAACAGTAATCTCAAAGGATGAGTATGACATCAATGGTTTAATAGCCCACGCACACCACCATTGTAGCAGCCTTGGTACTGTTTTGCGGCATTGCATCTGGCATCAGATCAACTATCACAGGATCTTTCTTGCATGAATGTGGTACCTGGAATTTGAATGACGAACAATTTCCCTGTTGGAGGGCAAACCAGACATTGACGAAATGACCTCGTTCTTTGCCATACCCAACTTAGTTTCCAACATGGGTTATCTACATAATGATACTGGTAGTATAGTTTTGGATCATTGCACTTGCCTACAAGAAGCAGTCAGATTAACAGTTATGTCACTTGTTACAAGAGAATCATGTTATTGAAAATATAAGATGTCAAGTGCAATTTAAGATTGCAATGAATTGGCAAGTGTAATGTTTAGATTTGAGTGTTGTTTTCCTGAATTACATGAAACCCAGAGTCATGTTTCATACATCGTACTAGGCATGACAAAACAGTTTAATGAACAATATTTTACTTCTTTATCTTCTACAATCAATGTTTGTATAATCAGACCAACAATAAAGAGTACTGAGTTGAACTCCTTTTTTTTCCATAATGGGACAAAAGTAAACAAGGAAAATTTTAAGAGTTCATAAAACTGAATGGCAAACATTAGCCTCTTTGACAAATGAATAACTTCTGACATGAAACAATCTGAACTTCTTTGTGTCAATTACAGGACTAACCACAGAGTCATCAAGTGTATACTTCTTTATGTCAAAGGTAACCGTAATATTTGCATTTGGATCCAGAGGGACATAGCAATCTGCAACCAGAAAAGCTCAGGTGAGAAAACGATAAATGGAATTAGAAAAGCAAGTCTATTTCCAAATTCAGAATTTGAGGGAGGCAACAGATGCCTGAAATTCTGCGAGCGATTAACAAAAATAACATCCATTGATAACAGAATGCAGGAGAAGAGATTGAATCCATGCGTTTTCATTCATAAAACAATTGAAATAGATAGAAACTGTTATAGATGAAGAGACTAATAAAATCTTCGACTACTATAGAGTTGGAAAAGAATAACTGGAAATATCAATTAAATTTAAAGAGACAAATCCACAACATCTCATGCTCCAAATGTTAGATTCTCTATGACCAATTTACAGTAAACAACAAAAATATAAAGATAGGCAGGCGTCTTATTTCCTTATAAAGGTACAACGTGTGACATGAAAACATCATGGAGATTAATTCTTGTTTCTTGCTTCGAAAACTCTAGAAACCCCGTGCCAGAAGTTCTAGTATTTTGCGCATTCAATAATAAAGATGTCTCTACATTCTACACATCAGCAATTTTCTGAAACATTTTCTTGACGAATTTTTTTATGATTTCTGAAGTCTTAGATGTAACATAAAATTTAATAAAAATGTCACGAATTCTGTTTTAATCATAAGTTTAATATCATATAGTATCAGTTGGAATATCTAGATTCAAATATCATAAAAAGAAAACATCATCCATTTAAGTTGTAAGAACAAATATGGGATCAACCTCTTTATTCATAAAAAAATGAACAAAATATGAAGTCAACTAGATGTAATATTCTAAGCATGACACAATTCTGTATCAGTAACAATACACATTGACTTTCTAGATGAAGATCCTATCATACAAGTGTTGAGAAAATAATGATGATCTTTATAGCTAGGAAAATTCATGCACAAACCATAAAGTAAACGAGCAAGCCAAGTGTATCAGACTCAAATAAACATCTTTGTTCCTACTATCTTAACAATGAGAAGTAGAGGTCGCGACTTCAAATACCCATATATGAAATTTATGCACAAACATCACAAGTTGTCGTGAAGATACGATTTAAATACAGCTTATGCGTTTAGACGAAGTCATTAACGAAGTGAATGCTTACCTGCAAGTAAGGATAATTATAAAAATGAATGCTGACGCCCAAAGTGGTAAGGGCTGGCTTTAACTTGGATAGCTATACTTGGTCATCCCCACAAGTACAATGAGTACAAAGCATATAGACTATAAAATACAGCATTTTGTAGGTTGCATTGTTTTCTTTAGAGCATTTTGTCGAACAGGTGCCAATCATCAGGTGGCATGGTCATGAAATAGTTTGCCAGCGAAGTTTAATATTTGATTATGGGGCTGGCAATTTAAAACCCGAGCATGTTTGAGTAAGCTTAAAAAAGCAATTTATAAGATATTTTACTTATAGTAGAAAAGTAACATGTCCTAGGATATAAAGTTCGTTGAAAGTAATTTTTTATTTTAACCTTAGGCGAAACCTTGGAGAGTATGAAAACCAATATAAATCGAGTAATATTTAGTACTTTTTATTACTATTTTACGTTGATTTTGTTAGGAAAAAGGTAAAATGATGCAATACGAAATTCTTGTACATATTATCTTTAAATTGATTAATTTTATGAGATTTTATCTTATAATTGTAATAACTAAGTTCTTCGAACTAACATCTTCTTCATCAAATACTACAAGACTCGTTAATTTCTTCGCTTCACGACATTTAAGGACTTCTAGACATACTATGGCGAAGATGGGATAGAGGATGTAGCTCGTGGCTCGTGCACGATTGAGTTTGTAGACACTGATATTGGATTGGCTTCTAAAAGTTGCATGATAGTCTCGAGTACTTGAATCAATGATTTCTTGAACTCTTCTTCGTTAACCAGTTTCCTATCATTCACCTCAAACGTTTTAAGAGCTTCAGCCCTAATGTTATCCATCTGCAAATAGATAAGAAAACTTATCAATTGATAGTTTGTAATTCATCAGTTATATTATCATTATTGGCGACGCTGGAAATTGATTATAGGGATGGGGCTAGGAGTACTAAGCTCGTTTGATTGGTTTTTTGAAAAGTCAAAAGCTACTTATGTGACTAAGAAGTTGGTTTTGAACATGTTTATATAACTTTTTATACGCTTTTTCTGGTTAGAATAACTTTTAGAGAAAGCTGGCCTAAGATAACTTCTTTAAGTAGAATCCCTAGCAAGTGAGTCCGTAAAGCTTATCATAGATGACAAATTAATACCTGATCCTGAGCTCCAAATGAAGGTAAGCCAGCTGCAGAGGCAAGAATTTCAAGGGCTCCATGGAAACATTCCTTAGATATCTCCCCATTTTGATCTTTGGGTACACTTTCTATAGCAGAATTCAGTCTCTGCATTGAACAAAAGAATAACAATAAAGTGCATAAATAGGTTGTGTCTTCTGCTAGGATGCACCAGATATTTCACTACTAACCTTATGCAACTCAAATTTGTTTGACAACAATTTCTTAATGCCACTTCCATCAAAAGTATTCTGACTATGAGCCACGATCGCGGGTTTCTCTTTTAGATGTTGTGCCACACTCTCTATAGCTCTTTTAAACTCGACCAAAAGTGTTGCTTGTGAAACTGGTTGTCGAGAGACATCACCAAGTGATTTTAGTGCTGGTTCCACAATGTTACTTACAACCTACAAAATAAGTATCTACGATGAGTTTCCTATGCCTTGATAAGCTAATTAAAATTGTGCTCGTTTTGACAATGTAGCATTCACAAGTACGGAATGTATTACCCAAGGATCTGTAGCCGGAGGCATCCCCTGATCAACGGTAAGTTTAACAAAAGCCTCTATGACGTTATCTTGAAGAGATCCATGGGGTAATCCAATCTCGGAGAAAATGGATAGTATATCCCGTTCGAAAGTTGGGCTATTCAAGAACTCAAGCAGCTCTTCGCCATTGATTCGAAGAATAACAAAAGCATCTCGCTTCAAACCAGCAGCCATGCGCAATAGCGTTTTTGATATTACCTCTTTAATTAACTCAGTCTTGCTTATGTTTTCTTGTTTACATGTGAATTCATTAAGCACCTGCAGGATAACATCACAATAAGTCTGCTCTTTAGTCATTTATGTAGTACTGTGCACGAAATATGCACCTAAACATTTCGGGAAGAAAAGACCTAAATATTTCTTTGTCACCCCTTGCTCCGCCCCGCCTAAATGATTCAACGGACTTGCTGTCAAATCACAAAGGTGAACATTAACAAGACTATCGATAACAAATGTTTTCCTCAGACTTCATCCCTTGAATTCATTCCCACATGTTTTCTTCAACAACATTTCCATAGAGTTTCGTATATTACTTTTCCAAAAATAGTGTTCCCCGAGTGTTGTATTTCCAATTCCATTATCATGCAACCTATATTTTGTTGAAGAATAAATTTTACATCGAATAAATATGAAAATAACATATGCTACTCCTCTTACTAAAGTTGACTTTTTAAGATGAAACTCCAAATCTCAATAATATGAGAATCCTTTAAGCTCTACGAACAATTCGATCCACCATCTTACGGAACATGTTAAGAGATAAATTCCACAATGAAAATATAGACTGTCATATAAGAATTTAAATTACTATTCTTAATAAGATTGTCATTTAAGATGGAACCCAAGTCTCCATATATTTTGTTCGAAAGCGTATCAAACATGTGATGTAAGTATAAAAGGAGGGAAGGAAGATGACACAAACCTTATAATAGGTGATGGATGAAGTGTCCGAACGAAGCACAGTAGATTACAACTCCTTTAGAGAAAGGCAGAAAGCTTACCATCGAAGTCAACGTGTAGTTCTTGTAACTTATGATCCACAGAGTTGCTAGCTAAACAGTAAACACCTTATCAGTTTCAACCGACTCCATAACATCATCAGAGCCGTCCGTCAATTGATCATCATTTGATCATCTATTCTTGTGCATAGCAAAGAGACAAAACCCAACTTTTTCTTTAATGCAAATTCCTGGATTTGATGTTTTCCCCGTGACAACAGTGTGTTTTTAGATAGTGAAAATATGGTTTGCGGACAGGTGGAGGGGTGGACCAAAAAGGTGTTACTCTGGTGAATCCATGGGTTTGGTATTAATTTTGTCGACCAAAAAAAAGGTGGCACGAGCTAATGTGTCAAGGGATTCGTCATACGCAGGCAATGATTCGTTGGGCCGGTGCATTTTGATGGGTTTGTTTCTGTGGGCCTACGAATCTTCTTTACTGGGCTGACCTGGCCCAGCTAATCACTCTAAACCCACCTTAGCTCCTGCTTGACTCTCCGATTCATTTAACATAGCGACTTGTGGGGAAAATTACATCTCCCCATCAAATAAAATAGAAATACGGCTTTCTAAGGTATTTATGAAATTGAGTATGGAATTCTCTTTGCTCTTTTCAAATTAACAATTTCTTTCAAGATGCTATAATGCTATTCAATATCTAAAGCAAAATTTCTTATTAAAAAGAGAGAAGAAATTCAAATCTCATCAATCGTAATATTTGTAATCCAAAGGGACTTGTCCAATATGGGGCTTATTTATGTGTAATTGACTATAAAAATAAGAATTATGCTTCTTGTACACGTGTGTTTCATAATATCTTTGACATCCTTCTATGTATAGGAAATTTGGTCATTGATTGAAAAAAATATTGTTAAAATTAATGTAGAAAAATTTGTCAACTCAAATGATATTAAACTTGATATAAAACATAATGTACATATAGCATGATTGTAAAAACAAACCATTTTTCTTCACTACACCATTGACTAATACTGAGATTCTCAGCACATAGGGGGATTCTCCATCGCATAGGCACGAGCTAGACACCAACTGAGGATCGAGGAGCTAACGATCAGACTGTAGGTCTTATAAATATAGCAAAAGTTTTCTAGAAAAGAAATGGGAATAAGACGCATTCTTATTGACCAAAACTCGTTTTCGAAGGATCCTTTCGAGATAATCAAACACCCTTTTTTGGCTTAAAAAGACGCGATTTACTAATCCATTGGGGAATAAATAGACGTCTTATATTTGAAAGTTTTCGTGGATAGTTGCTTGTCTCGCTTTGGAGGTTCTAATTGATAGGCATTTGGATTGATAATGACTTTTCAAGTTAAATTTCAAGGCTTTGGCTCAGAAGAATAAGCCACACTGATGGGAGAGCGAAAGTGGGAGTCCTCGCTCACTTAATCAATACTGCCCAGGGCCAAGCTCTTACTGGCTAGCGGACAAGCAGGAATAAAAACCTCCGCCGTCTTTGTTTCGGGTTTGATTTCTTATGCAGTTAGGAGTGGGGCGTGCTAGCAGGAAGTCCGGTTATGAACATATATCAATCTTTCAAAAAACCTTTCTTCCATCCTGTGGTTGTCTGATCCCCTTGGATCAGGTGTCGGTGGAAAGGAATCCTCTCGTCCTCAGACCAGGGCGAAAGATCATGAACCTAAATAGTTGGACGAATGCTGACTCGCTGTCTAGCTCAAGGAGAGGGCTTTCTTTAAACGAGGGGAAGGCTTTATAGGGGGGAGTTTAGGATGGTTTCCGAACGAGAGCCTGTAGCTTTTTCCGGGGGTGCTAGGACTCGGAAAACCTGATGCCAATAGCTGTCTCAGGGAGTTGATAAGGTTTGGCTGGGCTTTCTCTTCTTCTTGCTTCTGGGTTCTTGAGAATGGTCTAAGGTTGGTTCTAAGGACGCAGCTGGTAGCCGCCCTTCCCTTGAACAGGAGCTTCAGCTTAAGTAGCCGCTGGTGTCGAAGCTGAAACTGCAGGATCTCTTGTAGACGCAGGAGCTTGTCTCGTCCGATACTATCTCTCTGATGATCGATCTTGCTTACAATTGGCTTTATTACATAATATAGGTTCGCTCCAGTTCGCTATTCTTCTGATTTCGAATGCTAGCTGGTGGGCTTTCAAAGGTATGGGGCGATCAGGATGGCTTGGTCTAGCTCCCTTGAATCTTTAGATCAATCATATGCCCTCCTCAACCTTTTCTATGACCTAGGGCGATGTCTGACCTGGTCCTCTTCGTCTTAGAGTGCTCTTATCTTATCAANGGAACGATCCGCGACCCGCGCGACCCGTGACCCGCATGGGCTCGACCCGGATGGGTCAGCGGGCGGGCCTGGGTTGTAGTCCAAAATTGTGGGCCGACCCGTAACCGGCCCGGAACCCGCAGCGGGCGGGCTTTTTTTCACGGGGGCCATTACCGGGCTCACATGTTGGTGGGCTCGGCCCGGACCACCCGGATTGACACCTCTAGGGCCAAGAAAGTAGGGAAAAAAAAATTGATATTCTAATTGACAGAATTATCCTCCGGCTATACATACAACAATCATGACGCGTATGTGAGGGTATGTCGGCAAATATTTTATGGCAATTCAGCTTAATTCTATGTATAAACCATTTTATAACTGAATGAGACCATAAATCTAAACAAATGTTGTCAGCTTAATTCTATGTATAAACCATTTTATAACTGAATGAGACCATAAATCTAAACAAATGTTGTTTCATAATACAACAAATTTTCATTCCATCCATGAATTCTTCCACCGTTGTTTTCAAACGAAAAATCTCAGATCCATACAAAAATTTCATGCCCATTTACTCAGAACAGGCTTATTCTTCATCGCCCCTAATCTTCAGACCAGACTCATATTTACATATACATGTCTGAACAAAAACAATCTGAGATCCTTTACGAACTTCTTGAAATGTCTCAACCCTAGAAATCCATTACCATTTAATTCAATTATATCTCATTTTTCTCAAATTGGGTCTCACACTTTAGCTCTAAAAATCCTGTCTTTCATGCACTTTAATGGCGTTTATGTAGATTCTTATGCTTTGTGTAGTTCTTTAACGTCATTATCTTGTGTGAAAAATGTTTGCATTGGAAAAATGATGCACGCCCATGTACAAAAATCAGGCTGGTTGTCTAGCGTATTTGTCGGCAGTGCGTTGGTCGATTTTTACGCAAAACTGTGTGTAAATGATGCAGCAATGATGTTTGATGAAATTCCTAGTAAGAATACTGTGTGTGTAAATGTGCTTTTGTCAGCTTATGCTGAGGCTAAAATGTGGGATGAAGTAATCCAACTGGTCAGGAGAATCCCAGGGCTAAGTTTTGATGTTGACAATTTTACACTGACGGCTGCGTTACGTGCATGTGCTGGGCTGTGCGAAGTAGAGATGGGTAGGCAGATTCATGCCACTGTTCTTCGTAAATTTGATTTGGGAGCTGATGTGTTTCTGCAGAGTTTATTCATTGAAATGTATGGGAAGTGTGGACTAGCGGAGAGGGCAAGGCAAGTTTTTGATATGGTAGGATTTCGAGTAAATGGTGAGAGAAAAAGAGATGTTGTTTTGTGGACTTCGATGCTTTGCGTCTACGGTAGAAATGGGAATTATGTGGAAGTGATTAGGCTGTTTGGCAACATGTTGAAGGAAGGGATCAGACCTGATGGAGTGGCATTTTTGACTGTCATCTCAGCTTGTAGTCACACTGGCCAAGTGGAAATCGGGATGGAGTACTTCAAGTCCATGTCCCTATATGGATTGTTTCCAAGCTCGGAGCACTATAGTTGTCTGGTTGACTTGCTTTGCCGTGCTGGAGAGCTGGAGAAGGCCTGGGAGTTGGTTGCTGAAATGCCACATAGTGAGGACGGCAACTACACCATTTCCATGTGGGGAACATTACTTAGCGCTTGCAATGAGCATGGAAATGTTGATTTGGGTAAGTTGGCTGCTCAACAGGCACTTGAGTTGGAGCCTCAGAATGTTGGAATATATGTTCTACTGTCAAATATGTTTGCTAGGAACGGTATGTGGGATGAGATTGGGCAATTGAGAGAATTGATGAAAATGAGAGGATTAAAGAAGGATATTGGATGGAGTTCGATAGGCGTTGCAAATTGAACTGGAGGGAAGATCACTAAACTGAAAATCATTCCATTAATCATGAGAACTTACTCCTGCTACATACAATTACATGGTTAATTTGAAGAACTTCTCAAGGACAACTGCAAAATGAGGTACAATTAGGCTTCTGGGTAAGAGGAATAATAGGATTGATTTGCTTGATAAGATTAAATGAGTTGTCAGGTGTTCGTGTTGCACATTTGTTTCCTGGGCACATGTAATGCTGTAAAGACTGTGGGGGATGCAAGTATTATATTAGTTAAAACAAAAGGATAGGCAGAAATGCTGGATGTAGCCGCACACAGCATCAGGCATTTAATCTATAGTTTTTGCGGATGATTTTCTCAGCCTTGAACACACAAATACAACTTTTCTTGAATGGAGCTATACTAGGGCTATTTCAGTTGATGCTCATTCAGTAATTCCAAGTGCGTTCTGTTCTGTTATGCCACTACCCAGCGTGACATACATGTGGAAAGAAAGGCAAGTGCCATTTTGACCGATTAGTCGAATAAGTTGACTCCTTCTAACCTTGCCGATCTAAAAAGTTTAACAATCTTGTTGCACTGCCAAGCTAATTGTAAGTTATACTCCTCTGCATGTTCTGTAGGATTAATCCAGTCTTTTCTGGTAGAAGATGTAGCCTATATCTAAAATAAACCTTATGCATTCTTGCAGTAGTTTTTTTTTTTTTGCATACAACGCTTGAATTTCAATTATGTCGGCCAAAATTGCTTCTTTTATTGTTCCTGATGATGGATCTGGGGATACAGGGTTAAAATTTTGTTCTCTTCTACATGCTAGTCATTTATAGTCTAGGCTGGCTGAAAGAAAATTATAGTAGTAACTAGTGTTACCTAGTCAAATAGATATGATACAATAATTAAAGCTTTTAACAGTAACAAAACTTTGGAGATGAAACAGAATGTAGGAACTACGGCTGGGCAACTGGTC